ACTACATAATTGACAGACCCCAAATAGATGTTCCCATTCGATCTGCTAAGATACGTAACATGTCCCGTAGATCTACGGGGCCTTCTATATATCGCTTGAGGATTCGACGCGAAACAACAAGTCACTCGATTGAGGGATTGCGAACAAGCCTGGCGGCGCTGACGGAACCAAGGCAGGGACCCAGGACCCAAGGGAAAGGGGCCCGCGGGAAACAAACAACGCGTCGAGCACCACTCATTAAGCACCACGTTGCACAGAGAGATCCAACAGCGGCAGGGCAATCGTTTGCGAACATGGCCCCTTGAGAGGGGTCACGGGGCCAGGAGGGGACAGGAACAGCGGCACGCGTGCTCAGCGCGCCGTGGCCGCGCAGCCGCCAGCCCGTTGGGGGCGCGCGGGCAGGAGGAGGCCGAGCAGCAGGAGCAGCAGGGAGGCGAGGACGGAGGCAGGGGCAGGGACAGAAAAAAGCCAGAGGACAGGAAGGAATCGGAAAACACAACAACGGCAGAAGCATAAGCTCTCGACGGTCCGCGTGGATTGCTTGGATCGGCGCCTGCCCCCCCCTGGCGGCGCCTCTGGCACCGCCCCTGACGCGCTCCGCACGCCAGGAAGGTGAGTCCAGCGCAGATCGAAGACATCCGTACGGACCGTCAAAAGTCTATGATTCTGCCGTTTTTGTTCCTCCAAGGAAGAGGAGGAGGAAGAGGAGGAGGAGGAGGAAGAGGAAGAGGAGGAGGAGGAGGAAGAGGAAGAGGAGGAGGAGGAGGAAGAGGAGGAGGAGGACGAGGAGGAGGAGGAGGAGGAGGCGGAGGAGGAGGAGGAGCAGGAGCAGGAGCAGGAGCAGGAGGAGGCCGAGAGGGAGGAAGACGGACCTAGATAGAAGAACGCGCCTAGTTCGGGTGACGGAAGAGCAGAGCTACACAGCCCTCAATCGAAAGAAGTTGCCGACGACGAGGCTTTACGGCCCAGGGAATCCGAGGGACCCCATCTCTGAGCAAGAACGACCCGCCGACGCCTCAGAGCCGCAATAACCAGAAACGCGAGGTCGCTTCGGGAGCGACTCTTCATCCTGTGTCGGCTCGCGAGAGCGGGTGAGATGTTCGACCACCTCGTCGGAAGACGGGCGATTCTCCAAATCGAAACGGACGCTGGGACGAACCGAGCGCGCGCAGGAATGGTCTCCTCCTCCTCCTCCTCCTTCTCCTCTTCCCGAGGGCGCGTGCTCGGCCGCCAGTCATCCGAAACACACACACACAGACACACACACACACACATTTACACACATTTACACACACACGATTTCGGACGCATCTGAGAGGGTACTCGGGCACGGGCTCCTCTCGGGGTCGGGTCCTGACCAGGCTTTCCACCACCTCCCCGCCCCCGTCCGACGGTGACAGCACGCAGGCAGGCGGCTGGGCGCGCGCCTGCAGGGCAGCGACTCGCTGCGCCGTCTCGCACACCGCGCGAGCCAACCTGCGCCTGCCCCTGCGGGTGCGAGCTCAGGCAGGGCACCTCGAGCACTGCCACCAGCCTCGAATCCTGACAGGACGGTGGCGTGCGGCGGCGGGAGGGGGAGGAGGACGACGGCGGAGGCGTGGAGGCGTGGCGTGCTTCCGCCTCAAGGGCGCTTCCGTGCTGTCAGGCTTGAGGGCGCCTGGAGCCAGGGCTTCTTGCGGCTGAGCTATCCAGCGAGACCTGTCGGAGGAGGGGGAGGGCAGCAGCATGCGCATGCACCACATTGCCCAGCAGCTCGTGACATTGCAACCCTTTCTTGGCGGCCCCCTCCGCAAAGTCATTGCCGACTTTGTCCGGAGACCGCTCCGTCTGATGTGATTTCACCCGCTCGGAAGCCACACCTTCGTGCTCCAGGCCACCGTGATCATCGATTGCGTGCCAGATCTGACGCCACATATCTAAGTTCTGACGATGAGGATCGAGGCACCATTCCCGACCTCTCAGGTTGATGGCCTCGATCGCTGGCAAGTGATCCGGCTTAATCAACAGAGGAAGGCGCCCGACTTGGAGCACCTTCAAAAACGCGAAAAGCTCGGCCCTCGGGACACTCTGTTGGTGGCCTGGCGGGGGGCCGAAAGCATGTTCCATGAGACGGGGGCCAGACACACAGCAAATCCCCACCCCGCTCTGGCGGACTCGGGCCAGAAAGCCATGGTTTTTCCCGCCCGAGAGGGAGGAGGAGGAGGAGGAGGAGGAGGAGGAGGAGGAGGAGGAGGAGGAGGAGGAGGAGGAGGAGGAGGAGGAGGAGGAGGAGGCGGAGGAGGAGGAGGAGGAGCAGGAGCAGGAGCAGGAGTAGGAGCAGGAGCAGGAGCAGGGACAGGAGCAGGAGGAGGAGCAGGAGCAAGAGCAGGAGCAGGAGCAGGAGCAGGAAGCAGGAGCAGGAAGCAGGAGCAGGAGGAGGCCGAGAGGGAGCGGGAGGAGCGGGGCGAGGAGGAGCGGGGCGAGGAGGGCGGGCAGGAGGAGCCAGCGGCAGCGGCGGGAGCGAGGCCTGCGGAGAGCAGAGCGCCTCGAGAAGTCGTGACGGGCGCTTCTGCTATGGGGCCCTGGCACGTCAGGTCGACATGGCCCAGGAGACGCTGCGCAGGGCTGATGATCACCATCATCATCATCATCATCATCATCATCATCATCATCATCATCATCATCATCATCATCATCATCATCATCACCATCACCATCACCATCACCATCATCACCATCATCATTATCAGCATCATCACCATCATCATCAGCATCCTCATCCTCATCCTCACAATCATCGTTATCATCATCATCATCATCAGTATCATTATCATTATCGTCATCATCAGCATCGCCACCATTGTCATCATCATCATCAGCATCATCATTATTCTCATCGTCACCATCATCATCATCATCGTCATCATCATCATCATCATCATCGTCATCGTCATCATCATCATCATCATCATCATCGCCATTACTAACATCAGAATTGTCATCACCATCATCATCATCACCATCACCAGCAGCACCATCAGAATCGTCATCATCATCTTCATCATCATCACCATCATCAGCACCATCATCACCATCACCATCACCATCACCACCACCATTGTCATCATCCT